ATCATTTCTATCATACTGTGGAGTGTTAAGTATCAGTAGTTTTATCACTGACTCAGCAGCATGTTTTTCCACGTCGTATTGATATTAATACTTAAAAAATTTCTAAAAAACTGTAGAGATAACTTATTGCACTATGTCACTTTAGCTTACGTAACCCACTAAAGCTTAAATTAAAAAAATATCTTTTTATCGAGTGACCATACCGAGCACAGTTTCAAGTTATTGTAACTATCATAATAGCGCAAGATTGTCAGGCGTGCCTATACTGCTGTAATAAAATTATATTACTGTAGTACCATAAATAACGTACATAGTTCATCCACATAGTACTCTTGTTATATCAAATCTGGAAAGGTATAAATAGTCGTATTTTACTAGAATAAAATGAAGAAAATGGTGAATTAGTATTTTTAGGATAAGCAGCTATTAAGTTATCAAGATCGTAACCATATTGTTTGGTGACTTAAAGACTTTGATTAAGAAAGAATAGAATGATTTCTTCCATTAAAATAGCGGTTTAAAGATTTTTTTAAAGGGTTTTCAATAGCTGGTTACGATCTATTTACGATATTGATTTTACTTATTACAGCGGCGATCGTAAGGAATCATAAAAATACATTCATTTACAAGATCGAACATGCTATCGTGCCGCAGATTACAGTACTAAAATTATGGCGATTTAAGTAGCGCATCTTTAAAGAAGAAGATGACATCTTTTATTTTTTAAGCACATCAGGGAGTGTGATCCATTCTGAATTAAGATATTACTGATGATAGTAGGGTGTAAGGATCCAGGGGGTGGAATGTTACTTCGCATTGTCTTTCATTAGCCTCTAATTAATTAAACCTCTTCTGCACTATAATATGATACGGTAGCATCTGAAATATGTAGAGTCGAACATTAAAGCTAATACATTTAAAATATGGACGCTTTTGTGATCACCTTTACCGTTTAATAATACATAGCTTAGCCTGCAGTTATCATATTGTTTTGATTGGATTCACCTATGCAGCATGCTAAGACAATTTATATCAAAAATACTGCAGTCAATTTTAGTCGATTATCATTACTTTAGATCTATAATTAATAGTGAAGTACTGTTACTATGCAGTATAGGAGATCTTAATCCAGATTTGTAGGCACTGGTTATCGTAGAAAATTCAAAGACCATGTATTAAAAATCATGTTGAGTAAACCCTGAAATTTACTGTAACTTCTTAATTATATTTAAGCGAAGAAAATCGTATCATAACCACCGCTTTGAATATAATTAATATTCCTGTATGTTTCATATTCTGAGTCTTCGTATTGTATTCTTCATCTTTATATTCTAACCTTAATATTTCATCTAAACTATTGCAATTTGGAGCTGCTGTTATAATTTTCTTAATGACATCTGTTTAATTCTTGGTCAAGAATTACAGAAAAAAACTCTTTTCTGATTTCCCATTAATAAAATCAATTTTTATTGCATTTTGGATGAAGATATTGATAGTTCAAAATCATTACTTGCAATAGCATGCTCTGAAACACTTCGTTCATAATCTTCTCTTTAACAGACCTTCTAAATCATTCTGAGTTGTAGCAATATCCAAAATCGTTGCTACTAAGTTAGAACAGCCGGCATCCATTAAAAGATTAAGTAGCTGTAATGTTGTTCGTTTATAACAATCTACCTTTACATTATTACTTATCAGTAAATCTATGATC